AGGCTGATGAGGGGGAGATAGGTGGGTGCTGGTGCTCCCCCCACCCCGGGGTGTCCCCTGGGGCTCCTCCTGAGGAAAGGAGACCGGCGAGCTGTGCTCAGAAAACCAGTTTGCTGTGGGGGTGTCACCTAACGCAACCTGGTCCCGTTTTTCTGCTGCACGAAGGGGTGTGAGGCTGCAAGGTGGGTGGGGAAGGTCCTCCCGTTGAGTTCTGAGGTTCAGGAAGGACCCCTTTGCCTTCTAGACTCCTAAAGGAGCAGCCTGGGGGTGGCTGGGTCCAGGCCTAGTCCCAGACTTTGGTCGATGGTGTATGTTCAAAGGGTTATGTGTGTGGCCACCCATCAGAGTCAACGTTTACCTGTTTCAAAGCTTGGCCCAGGATTTGCACTGAGACAGAATTGCAAAGGCTGGGACTTTATTAAGACAACAGATATAACAAGTTTGGAATTATCCTTGGTGAATACACTTATTGGAAAAATTGAGCTAATCCCATGTAACACCAACAAAGTTAGAGCACGGGTCCCACCAAAGAGGTGTCCCTGCTTGGGGAGGGGAGAGCTCCAGGCCTGCCAACCTGTCCAGAGAGTTGGAGTTCTCTTCCTGCTGTTGAAGGTGAGCCCCTGGCCCAGGCTGCCCAGAGAGGTGGTCGCTGCCCCATCCCTGGAACCATCCCAGGGGCTCTGAGCACCCTGCTCTAGTTGGGGATGTCCCTGCTCCCTGCAGGGGGTTGGACTCAATGACCTTTGAGATCCCTTCCCACCCAAACCAGTCTATGATTCTGTGATGGCCAAGAGTGGTGGGTGTTGACGGGGGCCCTTTGTTCCTCTGTGGTCTCCCAGGTGTCCTGGTGTGCAGGCACAACAAGCTGCTGAGTGGCAGCAACACCAAACGCATCCGCCTGTGGGCAGTGGCTGCTGTGCAGGAGCTGAGGCTGAAAGGTCCCCATGCCAGGTAGGAGGTTGTGGCTCCCACCCCCCACTGTGCTTACACCCATCTTACTGTGCTCTTGAGATGTTCTTCCCCTCCTCTGGCAGCTCCCAGGACCTGTCTGAGAGGTGGCTTTTCACAGGCATTGGCTCTGCCTGCTCCTGTTGCTCCTCACCCTGAGTTTTTCCTCTCCATCCTGTGCCTACTGATTCTTTCTGTCTGGATCTTTTGCCTGGATTTTTGCCACAGGGAGCTGAACCCTCTTCATCACAGCATCACAGCACTGTGGGGGTTGGAAGGGAACTCTGGAGATCATCTCCTCCAACCCCCCTGCTCCAGCAGCTCACCCACAGCAGGGTGCCCAGGGTCACAGCCAGGAGGGTTTGGGATCTCTCCAGAGCAGGAGACTCCACAGCCTCTCTGGGCAGCTGCTCCAGGCTCTGCACCCTCACCCCAAAGAAGTTTCTCCTCCTGCTCAGGTGGCACCTCCTGGGTTCCAGTTGGTGCCCGTTGCCCCTTGGCCTGTCCCTGGGCACCACTGAGCAGAGTCTGGCCCCAGCCTCTTGCCCCCCGGGGCCCTTTAGCTCTTGCTCAGCACTGCTCAGATCCCCTCTGAGGCTTCTCTTCTCCAGCTGCACAGCCCCAGGGCTCTCAGCCTGGCCTGGGCAGATGCTCCAGTTGAATAACTCCTGGAAATGGGTGGAGTTTCTCATGCTTGAAGTTTGTGTCAGTTGGTAGGAACTTCTTTTAGAGAATGAGTGAAAAAAACTTTGCCTTTGTTTCTTCTCTCATGCTACTGCATCTTTCTTGCCTCTAAAGGATGGTGGCAGTGGAGCTGCCATGGTGGTCCCTGCTCAGTGTACAAGAGCCCCCTCAGTGAATCCTTGAGCTGCAAATACACGACTGGGCTCATTAGAAAACTGCATTTAAAGGAGGTGGAGTGGCCCTTCCAACTCTTGAGCTGGTCCTCCTCCTTTCCTCCTCTCCTCCAGGTCCAGCTCTGTCCTGCTAGAACACGAGATGACCCTCGATGGGACGATAGTTAGTGCAGCCTTTGATGACTCCCTGGAGATGGGGATCGTGGGCACCACGGCAGGGACACTCTGGTACATCAACTGGGTGGAGAGCACGAGCATCCGACTCATCAGCGGCCACAAGAACAAGGTCAGAGGAGCTGGGGTGGGGTGGGATGTCCCATGGAGCAGAGGGATGCTCTCCACGCCCTGGGGAGGGTTGTCTGGGCTGCAGAATCATTCCCTGGTCTGGCCAGGACCTGCTGGTGTTGATGGGACAACCTAGAAACGTAGAATCACAGAGTGGTTTAGGTTGGAAAAGACCTTTAAGGTCATCAAGTCCAACTGTTAAGCCAGCACTGCCAGGTCCAGCACTAAGCCATGTCCCTCAGCACCACATCTACCATAGAATCCTCCAACCATTCAGGTTGGAAAAGACCTTTAAGAAAGGACTTAGGCTGAGGATCCCTTTCTGCTGGAGCAGAGGAACAGTTTGCAGGCACTAAGGCTTCATTCCTGGGTGCTGTGACTTCTGTTTGCCACCTGGACACCCATGTTGGATAAGGTTGACTTTGCCTAAAGCATTAAAAAGAACCCCAGTGACTGTTTTGAGTTTTGCTGTTGCTTTGGGGTGTCTTCGTGCTACAGGAAAAAGGGTTCAGATGGTAGAGGAGAAGGTGTTTTATCTAGCCCCATGTTGTGTACTGCCTGCTCCTACCTTTGGGGTTAGGTTTACTGATTTCATAGGTTTGGTTAGGTTGGAAAAGACCTTTAAGATCATCCAGTCCAGCCATTAACCTCACTCTACCAATTCCTTTGCTCAACCATGTCCCTCAGCACCACATCTCCATGGCTTGGAAACCCCTCCAGGGGTGGGGACTCCACCACTGCCCTGGGCAGCCTGGCACAGCCCTGGGCAACCCTCCAGGCGAAGAAATTGTTCCTCAGCTCCAACCTCAACCTCCCCTGGGGCAACTTGAGGCTGTTTCCCCTTGTTCTATCACTTGTTACTCAGGAGCAGAAACCAGCACCCAGCTCTCTACAACCTCCTTTCAGGATGATTTCCATCTCAAACCTAGCTCTCAGCCCAAAATTTAACCACAAACCCAAAACCACCTCACCTTCCTTTACGTGTAGGGCTTCTCATCTGATGTGCCCCCCGAGAGGGGCCGAGGAGCTGAGGTGTTGTAGGCTGTGCCCCCCTCTCCTCTCCCTGCAGGTGACCGAGGTGTGCTTCAGCCCTGACGAGTCCCACTGTGCCACGTGTGGGGAGGATGGCAGCGTCAGGATCTGGGCTCTGGGCAGCATGGAGCTGGTGGTGCAGTTCCAGGTGCTCAACCAGGTGATTTGTTTATGCTCCTTCCCTCTCTTCCTCTTGGCAGAGGGCACAACCCACTGCTTGGGGTCATCACCAGGACCGCTGCGTCCTCGTGGGGCGGAGTGAAGCTGGAGAAATACTCAGAGGTGGAGCTTTGGGTGGCACTGTCTTCACCATCTCGTTGGGTTCCTTTGCAGAGCTGCCAGTGCCTGGCCTGGGAGCCTCATGCCCTTGTCAGGTGGGGAGCTGAGAGCCAGCACGTGGTGGCAGGGTACAGCGATGGCACCATGCGTGTGTTCAGCGTTTCCAGGACAGAGATGGAGCTGAAGATGCATCCCCACAGCGCTGCACTCACGGCCCTTGCCTACTCCACAGAGGGTGAGGTTGCCTCTGCCTGGCTTACCCTCTGACCTCCAAAAACCTGGAGGCCAGGAAGAGCTGGAGAACTTGTATGGATGAGCTTTGGCAGCTGCCAGCTGGGCGTGGAGTGAATGGGATGGGGGGATATGGTGGTGATGGTAGAGCCAGGGGGGTTGGGGTGCAAGACCTGTTCCTCTGCATCCTCCTGCTCACACTCTGCCCTGGCTTTTCTTCAGTGGGTGTCTCTGGACACAGCTCCTCCTGCCCAGCCCTTGACTCAGCTCATCCCAACCTTTCACAGTGTTTTGGAACACCGTCTGTCCCACGGGGACCTTTCTCCTGTGAGTTTTTCTTCTCCTACAAGAAGCATCTGGGTCTTTGCTCTGCCCACAGGAGAAATGATCTTATCAGGAGGCAAGGATGGGCTCGTGGCTGTCAGCAGCCCCCGCACTGGAATGACAATCCGTGTCCTGGCTGACCACAAGGGCTCCTGCATCACCGTGCTGCAGTGCACCAGGAAGCAGGTGAGAGCCCACCCCCTGCCCCGGGGGCACTGCAGAGCTCTGGCACCCAGCAGGGCTGGGTTGGTCAGAAAGTCTGCTTCACCAGCCCTTCTGCTGGCCCCCAGCAGCTCCACAGAATCCCAGCACTGAGGGGGGTCAAGAAGGGACCTCTGGGGATCATCTCCTCCAACCCCCCTGCTCCAGCAGCTCACCCAGGGTCACAGCCAGGAGGGTTTGGGATCTCTCCAGAGCAGGAGACTCCACAGCCTCTCTGGGCAGCTGCTCCAGGCTCTGCACCCTCACCCCAAAGAAGTTTCTCCTCCTGCTCAGGTGGCACCTCCTGGGTTCCAGTTGGTGCCCGTTGCCCCTTGTCCTGTCCCTGGGCACCACTGACCAGAGTCTGGCCCCAGCCTCTTGCCCCCCGGGGCCCTTTAGCTCTTGCTCAGCCCTGCTCAGATCCCCTCTGAGGCTTCTCCAGCGCAGCAGCCCCAGGGCTCTCAGCCTGTCCTGGCACAGAGATGCTCCAGCCCCTCAGCAGCTCAACAGCCTCTGCGGGACTCTCTCCAGTAGCTCCGTGTCTGTATGGAACTGGGAAGCCCAGAACTGGACCCAGTACTCCAGAGGTGGCCTCACTGGGGCAGAGCAGAGTGGGAGGAGAACCTCCCTCGACCTGGTGGCCACAGTGTTCTGAATGCACCCCAGGAGACCACTGACCTCCTTAGCCATGAGGGCACCTTGCTGGCTCATGGGCAACTTGTTGTCCACCAGCAAGCCCAGGTCCTTTTCTGCAAAGCTCTTCCAGCAGGCCAACTCCTCACCTGTCCTGGTGCATGGAAAAAATGTTCATTTTTCCTAGGGATATATTCACTGGAGTAAAGCCACAGGCCTTGCAGGTACTCCCTGCTGGTGAGAGAACCTTTGGTGGCTGTTGCAGACCCACTGCATGTAGATTTGAAGTATCCAACTTCTCAGGCTTTAAAATCATCCCTGCTGCAAGGCTGTGTTCCCTGCTGAGTTCAGACCAAGGAGATCCTCCTCAGTTTTAGGTGAAGGACGTTGTTGGGGGACACGCTGTACCTGCAAGCACTCCCCTAGGAGGTGTGCAGATCTGGAGGGCATCCTAGGAAGGAGATCTGTGTCGTTGAGGCCAGGCATTCACCCCTCCTCCAGCAGCCTGGGGCTTCCAGTCTGGAGCCTACCAGCTTCCCTTGTCCTATTTTATTCCACGTGTCTTTATGAAGGTTCCTCCTGGTGTTGCTCCCCTACAGCACAAAGCCTCGTGTCCCCACGAGCTCCTGCCCCATGTTAGCTCCAGTGGCAGCTTTCTCTGAAGCTTCTGTCCTGCCAGCATCACAGCATTGTGTTTGTCTCTTCTAGTACCATGATTTTGGGGTGGAAGGAAGCGAGCTCTGGCTGGCCACCAGCTTGGACCGACGGGTCAGCGTCTGGGCCTCCGACTGGCTGAAGGATAAGTGTGAGCTCCTGGACTGGCTCAGCTTCCCAGCTCCTGCCAGCCCCCAGGTGAGCGGGGGCCCTGGCACCCGTGGCCCCTGGCAGCCCCCCCCTGCTCCTGCCTGCTCGGGCATGGGGCTGGGGCAGGGAGGGCTCTGAGCAGGAGGGTTGGTACCCGAGGGGGTGTGGAGACGGTCCCTGGTTCAGGTGACATTGTCCCAGGCTGCCCAGGGAGGTGCTGGAGTCACCAGCCCTGCAGGGTCTCAGAAAATATGTGGATGTGGCACTTGGGGACATGGTTTAGTGTTGGGTTGATGGTTGGACTCGATGATGTCAGAGGTCTTTTCCAACCTGAATGATTCTGTGATTTCCTCTCTGTGAAGGAAACTCACCACAGCTCTCCCCACAGTGAACAGGAGTTGGCCTGACCTCACATCCACTACTCAAGTTCTACCTTCTGGCTCCTGTTCTCTTGTGGTGAAGTGATCCATAACCCAAATAATCCACTTTCAGGCCCACACAGCAATCATGCCTGGGTGGAAATCAACCTGTTATCCTCCTGGGCATCCCATTCCTACAGCAGTAAACAAGTTGCTTCAGGTTTCCATGGCAGTGTTTGGTCGCTCCTTGTTTTGCTGTGAGCTCCTCTGAGATGGCAGTGCAAGAGGGGGGAGGGAACAGGCTCCATCATACTCATCTCCCACCACCCAGACACCCACAGCTCAAGGGCTGCTGCCTCTCTGTGCTCTCCTTTTATTCCCCTGCTGCATCAGGTCAAGCTGGGGAAGCCAGCTTCTATTTTGTCCCCTTTGGTGTCCCCTCCCTAGGGTCTCAGCAGCCTCCCACCCAGCCTGGCCGCCTTCTGCCCCTGGGAACCTGGCACCCTGGTCTATGTTGGTTTTGGGGTGCAGAAGGAAGCCCTGTTCTACAGCCTGCGCCAGAAACAGGTACCTGTGTCCTGCCAGGGTGGAGTGTGCGAGGGGGAGGCAGCAAAAAGCTGAGGCTGAAGGCCTTGGGGTGGGCTGGGGGAAGCAGCTGCCCAGGGTGACAGAGTTTTCATCTCTGAAACTCCCACGTCTGGCCCAGGAGAGCAGCAGAACCATGGGCTGGGGCTGGGCAGGCTGGCAGTCCCCACTGCCCTCCAGCCCCCCCAGAGGGGAAAGCTGAGGAGCACTGGAGGGGCTGGCAGCTCCTGGCATGGATGGGTGGGCTCTGCTGGGTGAGAAACTG